AAAAGTAATTAAAAAACTTTTCTCAAAAACTTTTTATCCCTAAAAACAACTCATATATTATGCGTGAAAGCGAGAGCACCGGCGTATTGGGCGCCTGTAGGCCGTCGTATGTGTTATGTATGGGTTTCGCAGCCAATGAACGACACATTCACCACATTCTCCACACAAGCAGTGAAACCGCTCTTCAAAACACAGACAACTCGTGTTTTGCCATCAATTGAGTCAACAGTGGATCAGATGAGACACTCATCCACAGCACACACCTCAACACAATACCAGTGCCAGTGCCAGTGTTACGGACAGTGCTAGTGGTGTATGTGTGACCTACCGGTGCCATGATGTCCAAGTCGATGATAACAGTGCACACTCTGTATAACTTCTTGTGGTACTTAACCCACGCGTTGATATCAGTCGTGCAACTGATTCACAGACACCTGTACCTCAAGTTTAAAACAAAGCGTGTCTTAAGCCTTGATTTGCGTGAATTAGCCAATGGTTTGCAGAAAATACCGAAACATATCGCCGTTTGTGTCAATGAACACCACGTGGACTGCGATCAGTTGATCCAATTGATCCAATGGTGTCACGTGTTTAACGTGAAGTACGTGTCCCTCTTCAGCCATTATGGTGTGTATTATCTCATGAGTGGCCAGAAGTCCACGTTTTTGTTTAGTTTTGTCGCCATTTATGATGTAATAGTCGTGTCATATGTTGTGATCACAGTATTGTGTCTTATTATCACTCTTCAGATACATTCGTGTCTTTGAGTCAATTGGAGGACCAGTTCGTGAGGTGTGCGACGAATGGACACAAAGTCACGGATGACGGCGCGCACAACAATGGCTTCGCTAAGACTCGAGTGAATGGTTAGTATATCACTAAACACTTGATTATCACTGCATTCATGACGTGTTTTTGTGGCGACAGGGAAGACATCCGTCGGTGTGATGACAACAATGGATGGTATGTCCGTATGTGTCGTGTCTTATAAGCACTCGCGACAGAGTATAGTGAAAGCGGCCCAACATTTGAGTCGACAAAACGCACCCATCGATCAAAACCAGATCACAGACTATTTAAGAAGTGAGTGACCCATGAGTTCCGTGTCTTAAGACATTTGTATTCATTTCATTGATCCAAATCCCGTGTAGAAACGTATGACTTCCCGGACCCGGAGCTGTTGATAGCGTTCGGGGGGTCGCCGGCCGTCTATGGGTACCCCTTATGGCAGTTAAGGCTAACGGAGATGTATTTTCTTCCAACTCATCGCCACTTCCAATGCAATCATTTCTATGAAATTCTCGTCAAGTATTCTAAATGTGAGCAAAGGTTTGGCAAATGAGTGCACATTTTGTGCTAATGTTTAATAGTGTAGTAATTATGGCAACAAAATAGATGTTTATTTGTAAATCAAGTGTTTATTTTTGATTATTTGTCGGATTTTTAACTTTTTATTTGCAAAGAGATTATGCAATGAATTGTCTCATGAAATGATGAGTTGTTTTTTATTTGGATATAAATTATTATATAATGTAAACAATAATAACACAAAAGACTTATATACAGAGAATTAAAGTTTTATTTTTTTGTGAAAACGATTTGTACATAAAAATTGGCATTCAATTAAAATCACAGCCACTTATGATATTTATTTGATTTTTTAATATTTTCCTATAAATAAAGAAAAATAACCACAAATAGTAAATGCTTATCAAAAATCAGTATTAAAAACAATATTTTCCAAAAAAATAAATTAAAGTCGCCTTTGATTTCCAATATTGTGCTTAAGATTTATGCATCGATTAAGGAATCTGTTTATCATTCATAATGTGATCCTATTATTCAATTTGAGACTATTTATAACTACAGTCTAATAGTTAGTGTCCAGTGATCTCTCAATAATAGTAACAATTTATAACTCAGTGGTCACTCAATCTACTACATAAACCTCACTATGATATCTACGGTACTCTACTGTAGAATATTCTGTAACTTTCCTACAATTTCTTATCATTGATAACATAAACGCAAAACAAACCCAATCTTAAGCCTCTCGGATATACTCTTTTGATTTGAGTTCAAATTGAGTTTAAAAAGTAAGTCATAAAAAATATGTTACCTTTTAAGGCGTGCGTACGCTATGATGCCATTCCTTTATCGCTGATTTATGTCTTACCCTCTGATCACAACTTAAATAACTTTTGTTTTTATATATATTTACGACTTTCCCCTCCGAGTCGACGCCCGGCTCTTGCCATCAGTCGCTGCGCTCTTATCGCGGCTTTTGGACCGACTTCTGGAGCCTCGGCGGCGATGGCGGCGCCGTTCGCGTGATTTACTCCGCGATCGCTGTTGTCTTCGCTCTCTGGAAGCGCTTCTATTATCTCTAGATTTTCGCATACCTTTTGAACCGCAGCTCGAGCTCAGTGTCCGCTCGCGAGCCGCCGGCGACCGACTCCT